AAATTAAAATAAGGTGAAATTTTAAATACCAAATTACAAAGGCGAGATCAAATTTTGAAAATTCAAAGTGATATTAATCATGCTAAAATTGTAAAGGCATATTTTCTATTTTCAAAACCTAGATCTTAATCTTATTTTTAAGAAAAATTGGAAATATATATTTAAAGGTTTCAAATACTTATTTAGTGGTTGAATTTTATATTAAAAATTTACAAATTTTAAACTATCATTATGATTTTATTTACAGTTCCAACAATCTTTAATGACCAAGTATAATAAGTTCTTTAAATCACCACCTCAATGTAGACCTGTACGGTCTATTTTGTCGCGCAGCAACAGAAACAAGCCTGGGCCCAGGGCGCCTTGGTCTGGTTTGGCATCCCTCTGGGTTTAAGAATTGATGATCATTAATACAAGAGCCTTAATGGGTCTTTAGAAATAAGGAGCTGGCTCATGATCATTCTGCTGAGCCTGAGTGAGAGGAATGAAGTTGCTGTTCGAGCTTTTACTGGCGTCAAGTCAAGGGTAAGAATGCTGATAGTGATAAGTAAGTGGAGTTATGTCTTCATGAATCGTTTCTAAGGGATCAAGATATAATCAGGCCACCTTTTGACTCTTCTCTGACCATAAAGGCCGGGCTCCTGAGTCCTAGATTTGAGAGCCGAAGCTGTAGTAATTCACAAAATGTTCAGTGTCCGGCGCATGTGACGTAGTTCCCACTGCCGACGAAGACGATCCCCACGACGTCGTTTCTCAGTGGCCTCATCTCCATAACGAAGAACTCATTCCTTCTCCCCATTTAACGAAGACCAGAGAGTTTACCTCCGATCGATTTTCCTGTCTTCCATACTTCTATTCCATTATTTTCGAAATCGCACTTCTGCGCACACAGTTTAGCTCAGAAATTCAAAATCATATGAGAAATGGTAAGCTGCTGGTATTTCTATGTTTGACATAGCTTATATTGGCGAATGGCGATTCCTGGTCTGAAACAGATTAACTTGCCATGGATTGCTACATGCTACCAACATCTGAATTGTTCCATAGGATACAGATCAGCAGAGTAAATGAAGCAGCTTGTACTTTACAAGCATGCAGTCTTCGTTAGTGATCGATAGGCTGAAAAGATCAGTATGTTGGGAACCTCCACGAAAAAATTCAGTCAAATCCGATAAGAAATAAGAAATCGCCTTCCAATCGTTGTTCTGATCAGAGGTTGTATAGGCTGAAAACAGAACCAATATGAATTCTCAAAAGTAAAACCAAGAACTCTCTTTTTCCTCTCTTGCTTCACAGTTCACACTTATGGCAGCCACGCAAGTCAACTCTTACCAGGTTTTCCTTCTTCTTTTTTTCTTTTTCATAAATAAGAAATGCATGAAATAAAAATTGAATAGTTAAAGTATTAGGCTTCTACGTAGGAGTGAACCAACAGAGACCTCCTCAAAGAAAATCCATTGCATTCCTTTTCTTTTCGATATTCATCTGCTTTGATGATATGAACTATGCTGACTTTTTCTTTTGACTAGTTACCATACCTGTTTAATTCTCTTAGAAGAGCTTCACAGTGCATTAAGGGAGTAATCAAGCACAAAGCCGTTCACTTTTAAGTCTGCAAAATGTGGTTGCATTGGAGAGAATGGCCCTCGTTTAGGATACAAAAAAATGCCAAGTGGTCTCTCCTCAGTGTTGGTATGAATCATTTCAGTGCAACGAAATCAGGAAGATGAATATGAACCTATCTGGAAAACCTCTACCGATAACGAGAGAAGGAAGACTTTGATAATGATGCTGCTGGCAATGCAGAGGAAGTGGAGCAAGAAACTGTTTGAAGAACTTGTGCATCAGTATGAACTTTCATATTTGTTTGTAAGAACATCGGTTTAAGTGCAAATTCCAGTGCAAAATTATGCATTGGCCCCGCATACTGCTGCAGTTTGCTTGCTGTTCTTTTGCTTGTGTTGCACACTCTTGGTTATGCTTGATGTTAACCCTTTGTTTGGTTTAGCAGGAGGGAATTGGAGTGGAAGGAAAAGAAAAGAAAAATTTTAATGAATTCAATTCAAAAAAATTTTAAAAATGATGTTAAAAATTTTTAATTAATTTTTCTTACTTTTTTATTTTAAATCTTCTCTTTATCAAAATTTTATAATCTCATTTTTCTATTTTTCTTAATCAAATTGATTAAATTTTTTCCCTCTTTTTTTTTTCATTTTCCCCATATCAAACGGAGTTTCTATAGGTCACTTCAATTTGGCAATATAATCATATCCATAGTGTGTACAATTTAGCCAAAAAAAAATGTCGTATAATATTTTTTTTGAGCTGAAAAATGTCTCATAATATGAAACAGAGTCCTTACACTTATAAACCACCGAGCGTTTAAATCAATTGACAACAAAGTTATTTTAGCTTAACCAAAAGTTTTGAGTTCAAAACTTAAGAATGTAGCAACACAGGTGGCAAAGCTGCCACTCGAAAGGGGCCCAAAATACTCAAATCCAAATTAGTTGGGCCCTGTTGAGTTTCTCATATCAAGGAACCAACCTAGAATACTGGATGGACATGCAAAATATAGAGTTTTTACACTTATAATTAAATTATAAAAAATGTGATTCTAGCACAATTCTTTCTATAACCTGCAATGCTGTTAAAACAAGGGCAATTGTAGTCACAAAAGAAAATAAAGGTTGTTTTGGAAATATCAATTAATTAATTATAAATGATTCCTTAATGGATGTTAAAAATTGAAGGCAGGACGCGTGGCATACGCAGGACCGGGTTGACCTCGTCAACTTGGGAGGGAGGAAATGTTTGCTTGAGTTGGAAGGAAGGAGGAAGCGAAGCATAAAGCAAGAATGATGATGGGAATGCGTGCAATGACGTGTGCTGCAGAGTGAGGGTTGGGACTTGGGAGGCGGAAAGCTCTCAGAAAAGCCGCAGAGATCGCTCAGATGATGCCACGCAACACACCAGCAATTCATCAGTGATCACCCCGCATCCTATCTCTTTCCTATTTTCTCTTTTTAGAAAGGAACGCGTCCCAACCTCATTTCCGAACAGGATCTCTTAACACGTTTTATAAATAACTAATTTACCAATATCTAGGAATGGAAGTAGTAGTAAATATAAAATGAAAATTTTCTTATATAAAAAAATTTTTAGAGTGTTTATGTCGATTTTTAAACGCGCACTCGTGTTTCAATATGACAAGAGTTATCCCATCTCAAACACAAAGATCCATTGAGTTCAGTAGAAAGAATTAATCAGCTCCTCAAAAATCATAACACATATAGCGCATCAATGTATAAATGCTCATTGAAAAAGATACTGATATTTAATACTATCTCCGGTTCTTAATATAAGACATCGTTTGACTTTTATTTTAATCCTAAATATATCCCCAGTCCACTTTATCTCTCATATTTATGTATTTTTTTCTAAGGTAATCCTTCTAACAATGGTAAGGATATTTCAGGAAAGATAACATCTATTTATGACAAATAGTTAACTTAACTTATTTTCTTAATCTATTTAAATTAGTCAACTAACTCTTATAATTAGAATCAGAGGTAATGGATTCTCTCTAATAGAAAAATAACCACTCTTGCAAAAGTGTCAGTGGCTGGATCCTCAAATATATTTTTGACTTTCCAAATGCTTGAAACTAAAAAGCGACATCAAACACAATTTAAAATTTGGTCTAAATTAAAAAATTAAAAAAAGTTAGAGCGTCGAATGTGACTTTTAAGACCATTAATAATAGGACTGCTACAAGAGTTTGACCCTGCCAAAAAAATACTAGGAAAAAAGTCACCATTATTTCAAAACTTCACAATTTTGATGTTGTAATGCTGACTATTTAAAACAATAAATATTTTTTTCAAAGCAATACAATCTTTATTATATATTTTTCTTCTAGTAGAATGTTAAGAACTTTTATTTTGAAATGTTTAAATTTTGACCTTTAAATATGATTTTTTTTTTAATATATTTGTGCAGTCATCAATACATACAAGTCATCACAACTCAATTAAGTTTAAAATAAAATCGTCCCACAGGCGAATTTAACCCAAGTTATTGGCTAGTGGCCAAATCATTTTGGTGGATAAAAAAATCAGTTATATATAAAAGGGAGAATTATACAACTAAGACCGACATTAAAGGAACTGAGAAAAGGGAATTCAGTAAAACATCAGTCGTGTGAAAAAGAGTGACTAGAAAAAGAATGAGACAGCATGTTAACCTCCTTTGCTAAGATGTCATTGGAAACAGAATGACCAAGTAGACCGTTGAGCAGATTCTTCTTGTAAGAATCAGGGTTGATATGATTCAACGATCCGGAGAAAGCTTGAACTATTTGAGTAATGCAAATCATTAATGCAATTTCCTAATATTTTTTACATTTTATATTAATTAACATTGATAGCATGATCATATTTATTTTCATTTTTTAAAATGTTTTGATTTTAAAAAAAAACCATATATTCGGAGAATCCAAACTTTTCCCCAATAATCCAATTCTAATTGTGTTGTTGATGATAGATAGATCCTAGGAGCTTTTTTTCTCTATAGTCAAATCCCTCTGGACCGATTATTGTTTGGTGCATTTCAATAATTAAACAAAAATAAAAATAATTAGTCCAACGAGCCTGTAGCAGCTCTTATGGACTATTTCTTCACGTTGTCTTGGGTTTTAAGAAGAATCAAATGTGTGAAATAGTACTACCAGTCACCATCCTCATGGCCTGGTGAGCTGCAAGTTGGGGAAAAAAGGAAAGTCACAGAATATTGGTAGGGTTTTGGACCGTTGCTACCAAGCAACAAGAATATTTTGACCGGTAAATTGGGGCGAAGCTTGCTCTTCCGGGTCTTTGGGGTCAAAGAACACTTCTTTCTTAACCGAGCAAAAATATTTTTAAAATTTTATTTCCACCCTAACACCTTTTTCATTGGTGAGGGCACACACGTTAGTCAAATTCACACGGAAAATCTGCGTCCCAGAACCCAGAATTTTAACTCAAGGACTAGAGACGGGAATATCTCCGACGTCATCGGAATGAAATCCTAATCCTTTGGAAATTGCAATCCTATATTCTTAATAATTAATCGAGAACTTTGAACCCTCAAGGCGATCCAGAAACATCAAATTAAACAAAATCATCGTGTTAAATAAACTGTACTCCGCTCTTTTGATATGTACTCCATATATTTTTACTTCAACTAAAGTTTTCATCATCATCTATTTAAATTCAAGTATGTTCTATGTGTTATCCGAATTCGAAATAGTCCTAAAACCCTAATTCGTCGAACGAGAATCAACTCAGTGGCAGAAATTGGGGCAGCTAGGTTTCCGGTTTAAGAATCGAAAGCTTCTGTCGACTTGGCCGGAATAGCAGCAAGCTTTTCCCGACCCGTAACGGAATCCTACCGGATACGTGACCGGACGGAGAACACGATATACAGGGGAATACGGCAACGATTCATTGGAGGAGTGAGCCGATCCAGTTGAAGAGAGTTCGGCGCTCGATCGCGAAGACGAAGCAGGAGATACTTTCTTGAGAGACCTGGGCGGCGAAAGAATGGCTCTGATCTTCAACGGGTGAGCCTTAGCCGAGGAGGCTCGCTTATATTCCTGGATAATAATGGCCAAATCCTCATCGTTAGTAATGGAAATCAACGTCTCGAGGTCGCCGCTGGGCAATGAACACTTCAAGGTTACGGACGAACCACAGAACTCTACAAGCTTTACCATGAGGTCTGTAAACAGCAAAAAAAAGATCAGTTTTGACTGGCATAATAGAATCATCCAAATCAAATCACGTGTGTAACGTTAATAAGAGAATAAAAAACAGAAGGAACAAACCTGAAAAGGATATGGAAGGATCAACAGAGAGGACTCTGGTGTGGCCGCCGACGTAACGGAGGTTCCCGTCGGTAGAACGGGGAAGAATCCTGCCGCCGTAGCTGCAGAGGAATTTAAGAGTGGGAGTGTGTTTGGAGTCCATGATTCGCAAGGTTCGCCCGCGGAAAACAAGTGTATCACCGGAAAGTCGAGGAGGAGTGTGGAGTTTAGAAGTTGGACCTTGAAAACCTGAAGAACAAGGCGAGGGTGGGACTTTATAGGCAGGGGGGGCCCCACACGCTTAATTAAAACCTAATTAAATTAATTCGTGTGGGCCCTCATTGGCCGCAATCCATGTTATCTCTGAATCTACAAAATTGTCGTCAAAGATTTTATATAAATTAAATTTGATTTGGTAAACAATTTTTTTTTTTTTTCAAATAAAGCGATTGGGTGCGTTGAAGAGCAAGATGCGGATATCCTTTTCTTTTCTTCTCTTTTTTTGTGGTCTTGGTTTGGCAAAATCAAAAAGAAATTTCATGCGAAGGAATCAAACCGGAAAATTATATCTCGTCATACAAGACACAAGCGTTAAAAAATTTATGATCCGAATTTTTTTTAGGATGCCAATTTATGATTTATTATCGGATTGAAAAAATTATATCCATCTTTTTTTCCAGCATATAATTAACGTTAATACTAAACTTCGCATGCCAACGCATAAAATCTAATTTAGTAACTCTAATTAAGTAAATATCCTCTTTTTTTTTTGCCTTCATATCTTTTTTGGACTGAATTTTTGGCCTTCATATCTAATTATCCCAATTCATGAATTCTGGCGATAAAATCCTATCCTTATTGCCTAAATTTAAGAATTTCTGCTGGCAGAGAGAGAGAGAGAAGAATTTCTAGTTATAAAAACGTTAAGATGTGTTTTAAATGAACCATATCTGTTGATCATATATAGAATCTCATATAAATCTACCAGCATAGATAATAGTCGTGTGATTTGTGCATTGCATCACTGCATGACTTCTCCTTGTAACTCGGAACTTACAAGTTATATGATGTGACCCGGATTAAGCGCCCTGCCTATACATTCTCATCTTTTTCATTCAATTATTATTTTTGACTATTTGAATTCTAGTTTTAAATTTATCCCCAAAAATAAAAGGCATTAATTTATTACACAGTTAATACCTTTTCAATTTATTAAATTTAATCCTAGTTTGATTTTATCTTTAAAATCTTAAACCAGTGGTTTTAGAAGAGTATTTTTATTCCTGAAACCTTATTTCCACGATTAAAATTATTGTTTTCAAATTTTAATAATCAAAATTAAAATAAATCAAATTCAGAAATTAAAAATAATATTAATCTTTTGTTACATAGCATCCACCACATTTTTAATTTTACTTAATAATATCAACCTTTTAATATTTTAATGAAAAAAATTGTGCATATCACTCTTATATGTTCAATTTTTGTTCCACTGATATGAGCAGTAAAAGCTCCCCAGTGTACACCCCTACAGTCTGTTAATAGTAAACGCTTCCTAGTATACACTCTTACAGTCTTATTGATAAATCACTTTTAATATGTTTTACATAAATAAAGAAAAATTTTAAATTTTATTAACTTTTATTTAAAATTTAATAACTTTTTAATTTTATCTCTATTTAATATACATTATACCTTATATAAATAAAATCAACACGATAATAAATTAGTGGTAAAATTATACATCTATACAAAAAATTTCTTTTAGTACCTTGTTTTATAGGATTAACAAATATCTTCTCTCTCTATCTTATAAATAGGATCAAAATATGTAGCAATCTCATTTGGAGGAATATACCAAAAAGAAAAAAAATGACATAAACACGCCTATTGAATTTTAAAAGATAAATAGCTCAAACTAAATATTTTTATAATAGTTTTAACATGTCAAAATATATTAAAATTACCTATCAATCATTTTGAAATTAATGAGGTATTTTTTCATCATTCTCCCAAAAAAAACAATAATTAAATACATCAAACTTTCCGCGTGATAAATTGAAATTGTGTATTTGATTGATGTGGAAAGCAGAAGTACAGTATTTGACTGGGGCCCCCCTCACCAATTTAGCTAACGCAGTCACATGCCTGTTTCGAAAGCATAAATGGATTGAATTGCATATTTAGAGTGTGTTTGAATAGAAACCAAACCATAATTTTAGAAGTGTTTTTACGGATTACGAAGTAAATATGTGGAGAAGATTATTTCGTTTTGCGGAAAAGTATTTCTGAAACCACGATTTTAGGATATCTAAACAGACCCTTAATGAATTATTGATGATTTATTATACGTAGCTTTCAATGAGAGTCGAAATTTTAGGCAAGCTAAATCCATAGACTCTGTATAGCTTTCTTTTTCCCCCCCCCCCCCCATTAGTATTAAGCATGGCTATTTCATTTACGCCAAAACATGACAATCTTTATTTTTAAAATGAAATTTATGTCAGTTGAAGTATTTAAAAAAAGAAAAATAGGCAGGCGATATATTACAAAATATCACAAGTGTTCATAGGCTTGTTTTGCAAGTACATACATTTGACTACTAAGCATTATAAAATAACAATTATTCATATAAAAATTTACAAGTCCAGACTTACATTATAAGTTACAGGTTCTGATACCAAAAACAAAAAAAAAATTTAAATCTTTTTACAAGTACATATACATATTTTAATATAGCAAAATAACAAGTGTTTATAGGTTTTATAACATTTTTTATATATCTCTCGTACAATTACCTGACTCAGTTTTAAATAGTATATGGTTTTAGGTGTGAGTATATTTCTTAAAGTAATTTTTTTTTAACATTTACGAAGTTTGAGTAGTTAATCTTACTTAATAACCGTATATCAACCCCTTCCCCTTAAGCTGACCTGACTTTCCATCCTATGCAACTTTTTCTTGAAAAGTTTAAAAATTCTATAGCTAACATGTGTGTATATCTAGTCACACCTTTCTTCTTCTGATTCAGGTGCATTATATATGTACATGGATCTATTTAAAGTCACACCTGTCTGTTGTATTTTGTTCTGTCCTCTCTTTTTCTTAGCTGTATATGATATGATTCTAATAAAATGACCCATCACCACTGAAATTTGGGCATATAAGAGCTCATATCAGATTCTCTGTGACGTGGTGGGGTGTGCTTTGGTTAAGCAGAACCTGAATTGGTTTGGCTTTAACTAAAGTCGTGAAAGCTGAAATTGATGGCTCTATTTCCTTCCAAATACTGCAAAATATGAACTGGGTAGATCCCTTTTTTATTTTTTTTTCCCCCATTTGTACCGAAAAAAGGGCGCAGTTCATCTGTTCCTTCCAATTCCATTTTGGAACATATTCAATTCAATCAAACAATTGACTATGTGAAAATGTCTGTTACTTGTTTTCTCCATTCTGTTGATCTTTTCTCTGCCTGATTATTCGCTTTATTAGATATTCATCCAGTTTTTAATGTAAGATTTAATTAACTAATTCAAGTAAATTAAAAATATTAGTTGAATTAGTTAATATAATATGTTTTTTTAAATATCTCAAACATCTTTTTTAATTTTCTTTTCTATTTCTACTCGATTATTATTGAAAAAATATCAATAAAATTAATTTTAAAAAAATAATAAACTTATAAAAATAAGTCTTATATTTAATATAAATACTAACTTGGGAAGGGGGAAATATATCTGGGAAAAGTATTTTTTTAACCCCAAAAAATGATTGTGGGACCCACTAGGGGGTTGTGGTCTCATGGACGATGGATCCCAAGCTAAACGTCATCGCAGCCGTGAATCAGATGCTACCATTGTATTGAATGTGGGGGAGGGCTTGAGAGGGGGGGCAGAGCACATGGGCACAGTCCTTGGACGTAGCCCTAATCCCGGGCATTATTGGGACTCGCTAGTTCGGCCTTTTGTCCTAATTTTAACGTTCCATATTCGTGGAAGGCCTAGGAGGTGCCACGTCAACACCCGCCGGCGATGCTGCTACGTGGCGACATGCAGAAAAGTATGAGCTAATAATATTCCTCTGCTATGCCACGTCAAGACACAGGAAAAGACTTCTGTTCTTGTCTTCTTTTTAAGGCCAACAAAGTCTCATGTTCTTCTGTTGGAGGATTACACACCACACCGCCCCATTATTTACGCTGTCTTTCACATCACTCCTCCCCCCCACCATTATTTTCACAATTTGACTTTGAAAGCTTATTATGAGGCTTTTTCATTTTCTTTTTTTGGTATTAAATTCTTTTCTTGGTATTTCAAAATGGTACAGTAGTAATTGTCTTTTCCTTTATCATATTACAGGCCCGTTTTGCAATCTAAACCTGGAGGACACCCACTCGGCAGTCAGCCCTCAGTGAAGCTGGCCCATGATAGTGGACTCAGCCCGGGCCCAAAACCTCCCCTTCAAAATATTAATCTCAAGCGAAAACTACTTTATCATAGTACAATAAGCTGTTGGTTGATATAGTAAGCGGTCTCACCTTTGTAAAGAAAAAAATACAAGTTTAAATCTCGAAAAGCACATTTGTTCAGAAGGTTTTAACATTAACGCTTTTAGTTCAATGGAGATTAGTCTCCAGCTCAAAATGACTTGAGTATACTCTGAATCATACTAAAAAAAACTACTCTCCCACATAAGATGCTTTGCTTGCTCTGACAAAATATTTTGTCCAAAAAATTTACTTTTAGTCTCTATAATTTTGAATTTGCTGTAAGTTAATTCTGAAATTTTGTCATGAGGTAACTTGGTCTTTATAATTTTAACTCCATTACAATTTAGTTAAAACTGTGTGGGCAAAAGATTAATTTTCTTCTATTTTGTTTTTACAATTTATGCATTCTTTTAATATCTAAATCACACTAAATTATATGGATAAGTATTGAAAGAAAAAATATCATGCCAAGTTGAATGATATATAAACTTATTCACAGGAGGGCCAGGAATAGTTGTTGGGGGTTGAGAGTTGGGACTGCAATCATGTTTTCGTCATACCATCAATGAGATTTGAGTGACTCTTTTTGGGAAAGAAATATATATTACGTCAAAACATGCTTATATTTTAAAAACAAAAGATGATATACGTCAGATATTTAAAGAATTCATATAGTGATCGAAAGAGCAACAGGAATACTACCTCTGATCTTTAATATAAGATTCTATTTGACTTTTATTTTGGTTCTAAATATAAGACCCCAATCCATTTTATCTTTCATGTTTATATATTTTTTTTTCAAAGTAGTCATTCTAACAATGATAGTGATTGAAAGAGCAAAAAGAATATAATTTAGTGAAAAACACAAAATCAATGTAGCTAAAATATATTTTAACGAACATAAATAGGGAAACGGCGTGCATGATATTGGAATCCAAATGAATTCTGCTTTATGCTTTGTTTGTTTCATCACGTTGTAGAGAACTTACTCATTCCATTGTATCTAACTCCTGTTGCTTGTTCATTAAAGTGTTAGTTTTTACTCTTTACTATTAATCTCGTCGTAAAAGTTCTTCCCTCCAAGTAAGAAGTGCTGCAGATTAGATTTCACTCATATTCAATGTCTATATTTTATAATACCACAAAGTTAAACGTTAAGAATCTTGAGACACAGGAGAAACATTGAACTAGGATTACTCCGCCAAACATCCTTCAGCCTCCTCGTCAATCCCATGTCTTGCTTTTCAGCGGATGCACCTGCCTTCTTGTTTTCACTCCTCTTCTCTTAAACTGCCTTGCCTTGTCTTTATCTAAAAATATAATAATTTTTTAATTTTGTATTCATATCACAAACTTTATGATATAACTTATAAATAGTATCCAATAATAGTGTACTCCTTTTTCTCTTTGCTTTAAAATAGAACCAAAAGAGTATAGATTAAAAGGAGAATTACAATTAAATCTCACAGAAGAGAAATAATTACTAAAAAGTTCTAATAACAACTTGAGCAGCCTGTAATGATAAGTCTTATAGCCTGTAATGACAGGTCTTGCGGTAGAAAACAACAAGTTGACAACCTATATAATTTATTTTGTAATTTTTTCTTTTTATGAGATTTAGTTGTAATTCTCCTTAAACTAAATAAGCCGACACAGCCAGCAATATCTACTGTCCATAGAATGTTAATGAATAATTAATGATCAGACATTGGCACCAAGCGCAACTATACCACTACGTCAAAATTTTAATAATTAATTATCTCCACAGCTAATTTTTACTTGGGGTCTACTGTGCTGGTCCAAATCCAATCTCCAAATCATCATTTATTCTTGTTTTATTTTCTTCCCCTTATAGAAAATAAATAAAGTCGCCGTTAAACTGAGATAATCCCTAGAATCCTGTGCAGCCCATCGGATTCGCCCCTTAATGCAGACAATAACCACATCCACCTGACCCCGCTCCTTTTCCCCTCGCCGGGGACGGTGACGGGTTCCGCTGCGATGGGGACGATCTTCTTGCTTCTCTTCTTCCCCGTCCTCTTCTCTCCCATCTCTGCACTCGACTTTCTTTTCAATTCCTTCAACGGCATCGTCAATGGCACCAACCTTACTCTCATCAACGACGCTCGCGTCGACCACACCGTCATCCGCATGACCAACGACTCCAACCAGTACTCCTTCGGACGATCCTTCTACCCCACCGCCGTTTCCATGAAACCAAACTCCAATTCCTCCAATATTTCTTCCTTCTCCACTTCCTTCGTCTTCTCCATTTTGCCCCAGATCTCCACGAGCCCAGGTTTCGGTCTCGCCTTCGTCCTTACCAGTACCATGTCTCCCGTCGGTGCCCTAGCCAGCCAGTACTTCGGTCTCTTCACAAACGCCACACGGCCCGCCGTCACTCCACTGTTCGCCGTTGAATTTGACACTGGTCAGAACCCAGAGTTCAACGACCCAGATGATAACCACATCGGAATCGATCTGAACAACATTGAATCCGCCGTCACGAAATCCGCAGGCTACTATAATTCCACTGGTGGTTTCGTGCCTATTCGAATGCGTGATGGTCGTAACGTTCGAGCTTGGATAGATTTTGATGGCGCAAATTTGGAGATAAATGTCACGGTTGCGCCAATTGGCGTTACTCGCCCGTCTATGCCGACGCTTTCGTATAAAGACCCTGTTATAGCGAATTACGTGTCGGCAGAGATGTATGTTGGATTTTCTGCATCGAAAACGAATTGGGTTGAAGCACAGAGACTTTTAGCTTGGAGCTTCAGCGATACCGGACCTGCGAAAGACATCAATACGACAAATTTTCCAGTCTTCAAGCCACAATCGTCGCCTTCGAAGCTTTCAGGTGGGGCGATTGCGGGGATCGTCATTGGATGTGTTGCTTTTATGGTGATTTGTGGTTCTGGGTTTTACCTGTGGTGGCGAAACAAGAAATTGAAAGAGCAAGAGGACGAAATGGAAGATTGGGAGCTAGAGTACTGGCCCCACAGATTCTCATGCGAGGAGCTCAGCGTGGCTACTGATGAATTCCGCAAGGAAAATCTTTTGGGTTCAGGAGGATTCGGAAGAGTCTACAAAGGAACACTATCGAACAACACAGAAATCGCAGTCAAGTGCGTCAACCACGATTCCAAGCAGGGGTTACGAGAATTTATGGCGGAGATCTCCAGCATGGGCAGGCTTCAACACAAGAATTTGGTTCAAATGAGAGGATGGTGCAGAAAAGGGAACGAGCTCATGCTTGTTTACGACTATATGCCTAATGGAAGTCTGAACAAATGGATTTTCGACAAACCTGCCAAGCTTCTGGGCTGGGAACAACGTCGTCGAATCCTCGTCGACGTCGCCGAAGGGCTAAACTATCTACACCATGGTTGGGATCAAGTGGTGATACACAGAGACATTAAGTCGAGCAACATATTGCTGGATTCGGAAATGAGAGGCAGATTGGGGGACTTTGGTCTTGCTAAGCTTTACCAACAAGGTGAGGTTCCAAACACGACGAGAGTGGTAGGTACGTTGGGGTATTTGGCACCTGAGCTGGCGTCGGTGGCTGCGCCGACGGCGGCGAGCGATGTGTACAGCTTCGGCGTGGTGTTGTTGGAGGTTGCGTGTGGGCGGAGACCGATAGAGACGTCCGCGCCGGAGGAGGAGGTAGTGTTGATTGACTGGGTAAGGGACTTGTACGCGAACGGGAGTGTAGTCGACGCGGCGGATGCAAGGATTAAGGGTGAGTACGATCAGGGAGACATGGAGATGATTTTGAAGCTTGGTTTAGCTTGTTGTCACCCTGATCCGCAGAGAAGACCAACCATGAAGGAGGTTGTGTTGCTTTTGTTGGGCGAGGAACTCGGGGCGGCGCCGGTGGAATCGTTGTCTGA